TTTAAGATAGGTGGACTTTAACTCCCAGAATTCCCCAGCCAGCATGCTTTAAAATGAATAACAGAGTTGGAAGAGACTTTAGAGGTCCCTGTTCAGGCAGGAAACTCGATTTCATTTCAGACAAATGTTTATCCAATCTCTTCTTAAAAACTTCCAGTGTTGGAGCATTCATAACTTCTGGAGACAAGTTGTTCCACTAGTTAATTGTTCTAATTGTTCCAGTTGGACTTCAACTCCCAGAATTCCCCAGCCACCATATATGGACTTCAACTCCCAGAATTCCCCAGCCAGCATGCTTTAAGATGGGAAGTCTTCAATTCCCAGAATTCCCCAGCCACCATATATGGACTTCAACTCCCAGAATTCCCCAGTCAACATACTTTGAGATGGGAAGACTTCAACTCCCAGCATTCCCCAGCCAGCATGCTTTAAGATGGGAAGACTTCAATTCCCAGAATTCCCCAGCCAGCATGCTTGGAGTCAAAGTCCATACTTCTTAAAGTTACAGAGTCTGAGAAACACCGCTTCACACATTCATATCTAACATAAAAACACATTGCTTTTCAAATATCTCCTTAATTGTTTTTCTTTCCCCAAAATGTTAATTTTTTTAAAAAAAAAGCGCTTTAAATTTCAGCCCGTTGGCAGAGTGCCAAAGGCCATCCTCAACAAACTTAAGACATGCCAGTGTGAAGTTGGGAGCACAGCGGGGCGTTTGCAATGTCGACAATACGATCGTAACCCTCTTGGTGGTGAACGAGGAGACCTCTGCTGCGTTTCGACTTTGCCTTCCGCGGCTTTGCCTTCCAAAGTTTGTCTTGGAGACCAGGGCAAAACACTTGTGTCGTTGTGTGATTTTCTTTTTTCTTCCTTTTCCCCTAATAAAGCGTGGTCGAGGGAGTGAAAATCCACAAAAAGGCAGATAGGGGCAGTTCTTCAACTTAACGACCGCAACGGAGCCCTATCTTATGACCTTTCTGGCTGCCGTGGTTATGCGAATCACTGCCGTCATGGGTGGGCTTCCAAAATTGTAGCAAGGGGTTCTCTGTCCAGTTGCTGGGTGGACCTGGTTCGGGTGGGCGTGGCCTAGACAGCATCCTGCACCACGGCCGGTGGGGGGGACATTTTCTCCCTCCCTGGACTCCGGAGGCTTTCCTCGAGCCTCCAGGAGGGTGAAAAGGGCCTCTCCAGGCTCCGGAGGCTTTCTGGAGGCCAGAAACAGGCCCATTTCTGGCCCTTTAGAGCCTCAGGGAGGCCCGTTTTTCACCTTCCGCAAGCCTCCATGCAGGCCTGTACTTACCTGGGATCCAAAACGGGCCAGATGGGGACTTCTGGGCGGGGTGGGGTGGGATTTGCCAGTTCACTGAACCAGCCTTAAAATGAGCTACCATTTTGGCACTTCGACAAGTCAGTTCACTGCACTCAGCAACTGGTACCAGTTCGCCCAAACCGGAGCAAATCGCTAGCAGCCCATCCCTGACTGTCGTTAAATTAGTGTCAAGGTTGTTGAGTGAATCTGGATTGTCAGAAGGTTGCCAAAGGGGATCACGTGACACACACACACACACCCCGGGACACTACGGACATCGTAAATATGAGTCGGTGGCCAAGCAGCTCAATTTGGATCATGCGGCAACGGTCAGAAGTGTGAAAATGGATCATACGTCCCTTTTTTCAGTACCGTTGTCACTTCAAACGGTTATTAAACAAACTATGTTAAGTTGAGGACTACCTGTAGCTGCCCTCGGGACTGATAGCCAGAAAGCATTAAACGAACGGTCGTAAGTCGGGGGAACGACCAATATCAGGGTTGGCGAACCTTTTTGCCACCCAGTGCCCAAACCAGAACACTCTGCGCATGCCAGAGCACCGGAAAACCGAAGACCAACTGGCTGGTGCATGCATGCCTGTATTTTGGCTGTTTTGGGGGACCATTTTTCAGGCTGTTTTCAAGCTGTGTTTGGCCTGAAAATGGCCTGTTTTGGGCCATTCTGGGGCCGATTTCGGGGCCATTTTCAGGCCGTTTTTGGCACAAAAAAACAGCCTGTAATGGCCCCAAAACAGGTCTGAAAACAGCCTGGAAAACAACCTGTTTGGGGGGCATTTTCCGGGCTGATTTGCGGCTATTTTCAGGCCATTTTTGGCATGAAAAACAGCCTGAATTGGCCCCCAAAATACCCTGAAAACAAT